TCGAGAATAGAATGGGGAATTTGACAGCACTTAGGATGCCTTCCAAAGTAAAGAGCAGCTTCGGGGCCCAAAATCTCAGAATTTAAGGGGAGATCTGAAGATACTCAGAAGTTATAATGTACAAGGTACAATAAAAAAGCACGGGTTTTGCCAGGCAGTCATGTACAATTCAATATTTCTCTGTAACTACGAGACCACATATTTTTAACAGTTTTTAGTGACTCGCGTTTTGCCTGTATATCTGCCTTTTAACACTTGAGATCTTTGCTTACAAAGAAAACGGCAAAAGAATCTGTTCCCAAGAGTTGTATTTAGATCAGAAATTTCCTCCAAAACATCCTAAAAGTTGAAGAGACAGAATGATTGCCATGACTGAAAACAGGGACAATTAGAACGCCCCATTCCTATGCTGAACTGAAGTTACAATGATCAGAATTCAAGATTTTGTATCTGCAATTAAAAACCTCAAAATGTCTAATGCACAGAAACTAGTCACTACTGATTTACCAGTATCACTAACCTTCTCCCTTTTTCTCCTTCAGGGAACATGCAAAACCATAAAGAGGTACTCTGCCTTTTTCAAATGTACTACTATTCATTTTAATAACCTCTTTTGCATTATCACTTAAGGTAAGACATTTTGCAAACATTTTTTTAGAGTTGCAAATAAAAAGATAAAAGCCTAGTGAGAGTTTCAAGAAGCTCAGCCGTTTTCTTCCCACTAACACCATCCTCAGGAACCTGCACACATTCAAAAATCTGTCTATCATAACCTATACTAAAATCTGAATTAGCTCTACACCAAAGCAAAAAGCCTGCTGGAGTTGTAGCTTTGCAACATCGTCGTTTCTCCAGGAGCTTTCTACAGCTATGTGGTAGTTTCTGTTATGCCAGCAGGCCTGCCAGATGTTAGGAAGTCAGCCTCTTTTCCTTGTCTTGCCTCACTAAGATACCTGCTCAGAAGCCTCTCAGCCAAATATTTCAGAATTAAGCAGCAACATGATGGAGAGTCTAAAACTTCCCAGAAAACTGAGTAGAATACAGCAGCCAGTCAACCTAAAGGCTGGTGAGGGATTTAAACAAAGGAAAGGGTAAAATGCTGGGGTTTCAACAGTAAACATAAGACACTTTTGTTATAGAAAAAATTCTGTTCAAGCACTTGTGCCCTGAAAGCATAAATGTTTTGCCATTTCTTTGAGTAAAATGCTTCAAATAATCTAAACAGAACAGAAAAAATCCAAATAAAATCTCTTACTGCTTCAGAACCGGAGATGGATGGCATTTAAGGGAGTCACATTCCCATTAGAGATAAATACAAAGGACAAAATGTTTGCTTGTTGATAGAAGCTTGTATGTTTATTGGGATAATTAAAGTCTGCTTTGAATATAACTGCTCAGTTGAAAAAGTCTGGCATGACACTCCTGATAGTGTTATGAGTCACCACTTACTGCTAATGGTGATGGTCTAATTAGATTGTCAGATTTTCCTTTGGCCAAGTGAACTTTAACTGGCAGAATGAAAAACAGCATCAAAGGAATGTAAAACTACTGGCAACACCTAAGCTACATTTTAAAATACACGTAAAACAACAGGGAAAAATGCTTGTTTCTATGCCTTGTTTGGAGTGTAGTTTACTATTTACAACACAAGAACTGAAAGCGGCTCTTGATTTTTTGATCTCTTGTCATAGCGGTCCAAGCTTTGCAAAGTTTTTATTAATGGAGCAAAAAATACTGTTGGGGGATCTGGTTTGCAAAGAAATAGGACCAACCAGCTAGAGTTTGAATTTATGCATCTGCAAAGACAAGGCATGTGTTAATTTCTATCTTTTTCAAGATAGAAATGATGCAGGCTAAATAAATCTATTTTTAAAATTCCAAACAACTTTAAATAATAGCTGAACAGGACGTGAGTTACCCTTCATTGCTAGTATCTTAACGCCTTACTGCTTAAGAAAATCAGTTTGCTTCCCATCCAACTATTAAAGAAATTTCATCTGTGCTCCATTTGAAAGTTACACAGAAAATTTTACAGAACATTTGTTTTCATTCAATGACAAATGAAGAGTGATTGGAATAGGTTTATTATAGGGCACTTCATCTTGGTGAGTGGAAGCTATGGTCAACCGAAGGTGTGCAGTCTGACTAACCTCAACAGCTGGAGTGCTTAAATTGCCAGATTCTGAAGCACTCTTGATCGCATCCTTACTCCATACCATCCTTTCCTGGTGGCTGAACGCTGATTAAATAGCTTCCCGTCCCGGGAAGGCTCCCTGACTCGGCACTCTGAGAAGCACACAGCGTGCAGTGTGATTTTTCCGCATTCTAGTACGGCACGATCATCACAGAAACCAGAGCACCCACTCGAACAAATTACTCCCGGCAGTATTTGAGGGGTTATGGGGGTTGGGAACTAGAGTAAAGTTTAGGACGAACTGCCTTCCAAGCTCAGACATTTTGTTTATCTGGACTATCGGCTGTCCTTCCCTTGTGTGCTACGCAGACACCACATGCCTTTTCTCCCACACTGTGCCCGACTATCTCTGGTACCGGTCAGCTGATCGGTTGCTGAGATTAATTACAGCATCGGGGATTATGGCTGTTTACAACTTTGTGGTCAGGCTTCAGGATTTACTCTTATAAAAACACACTCTTACAGCGTCAGCCTATTCATGTGTACTTTGGCATTAGCTCTTTAGGGTAAAAACTGCCCTATTGTTATGCGTAGTGTGTCTGGCACAATAGGTCATCAGCCTGAAGCACCGAAAATAATTGCCTCTCTATCAGTAAAGCAAAGCCCACAGTGGTGAAAAACTATAGAAACATTTAAAAGGGAAAAGTTGACTGCAAAGTCTAGAGGGGTTTTGGGTTTATTCCTTTATGGGAAGAGCTGGTGTAGGCCTGGAATGCAAATCTGAAAGAAACATTGTGACTGGGAATGCTGGAAATGTGGGAGCCAATTTGTAAGAGGAAGTGATATACTGAGTTGCTTTACTTTATAGGATTCCTCTTTTTGGAATTATTTCCTTCTAGTGTGAGAAAGCATTCCCTTTGAGACAGAATTTTCAAAGAGAGGAGTAAAATCTAAATTAAATTTCTACTGCCAAACGCCCAATCCTTTTTGTCATATTCTTTGTTTCCTCCTCCTGAAATCCTTTTCACCAGTACTCCTACCTAACCCGATTTTGTGCTGTCTAACCTCACTACAGGTCCTTCCGGCACCAACACACAGCATCAGGTTACCAAAACAGCTCCTTCCACTCCAGTCTGCACGGAAGCAGGGTGGAAAGTCTCTACACCCTGAAAACAAGTCTATTACGAATACAGGGCTCCCAGCTAAGATGCATATAATCACCTCAGTTTCTCTTTAAACACTAAGCAGTCTAAGTCAGTCTGGCTTATTTATTGAGTAAGTATGTTTTCCTTTATAGAGGTAGCTAGCACAACATGGAAGCACAACCTTTGACCAGGGAGTTTTGCAAGAATAACTGGTAAGATACCAGTAAGAGAAATAGTTTTAAAAATACTGCAGCTTTTCCTGCCCGAGCTACTTCTGAATGCCTTGCAGCAAACCAACTAGTAGGAAAGAGGAAATACTACTCACATTTGTTCAGTGGTCAGAAAATGTTCTGGGAAACAAGAACTTGAAGTTATTTCTTTGCTAAGTCAAAGCCGCCATTCCAGCCACCATTCCCAGAAACTATTAGCAATGAAATTTAAGAAAAAAACCCTTGAACATTCATGTCAAATGATACATCTTTAATTTCTAAAAGGTGATAAATACTAAGAAACTGATCTAACAGGCAATTAATCTTCCTTGCATAGTACATTTATCTCCATGGGATATCAAGAATTACAACACTTCAGGAAAATTGGCGACTTAAGTGAGCAAGCAGCCTCGATGCTATACAAAAGTTACGGACAACCTCAATGTTTCCAAGTTTTACTTTGTAATGGATGCAGAGAATAGTCTTTGCTTTGTCCAGATCTATCCCACAGTACTGTATTCTTTCACTGCACTTTTCAGTTGGACATCTGTATGAAAAACATAAAAGGCTGCAACCCACACTGCTGTAGTAATTTACAATAAATTAGCTTAATTCTATTCAAACTTGGCCTTTTTGAGGTCAAATACCTCAAGGTACATAGTTATGGACTTTATTTTTTATGTAAAATGTGTACCTCACAGTAGTTGTAAAATGATTACTTGATTAATGCTTTGTCCAGATGTTTAATCCTTCTCTTTAGAAGGTAAAAAGATTAGGCTTCAGTTTCAGAAGTGCTCTTGACACTCATCTAAAATAAGCAGAGTCTTGCATGAAGCCAAAAAAATTTAACTTGCTTGACAAGCTTAGTAACAAGACAAGAGTAAAGACACTTTTTCATATAAAAAAAAATTAAAGTTACGTTTCACTGTACTTATCTACAACAGATTTTTTTCCTTTACAGAAAGATAGATGGAGAGGAGCATTGTACTTACATCATCATTAATTAATCCCTTTTTTCTAGGAACTTGTGTCCTGATTTTCGAAAGCACTGATTATCAGCATATCCTAGGTACTGAATGGTAGCAGCAGGCACTCAGAACTGTTGAAAATAGACTATTGGTACTTGTACTTAGGCTGCAAATGCACCATTTGAAAATATTCCTCTTGAAAGCAGGTAGTTTACTTTTTACTCAAAATCGGTTAACTAATTACTATTTGAATAATTCTTGTAGTGTTTTAGAATGTTTAAAATAACTATTAAGACTAATTACTTAATACACTATCGTGGATTACGATCAAAATATGTCAAAAATTTAAGTTTATGATAAATAAACTTTGGAAAAATTTATACAAGGCCGTAAATAAATAATTTGAACTTCAGTCTCATTAAGAAGTAAAACAGTACGTCACACGACAATATCATCCTATCTAGACAATACAAACTTGCTATATTTTATTGCATAATAATTTGAGAGTAACATCTCAAGTAAAATATGTAAAGAAACAAAATCATTAGATTTACTTCCTTTAATATTGAACAACCAAAGTTTCTCCTTTATACATAATCCAATTTAAAGATAATATTAGCACTTCCAGCATTAACAGTCTGTATTTACAATGAATGAGATGGGGTGGACAATCTAAAGAATATTCAAATCTGTATGAAACAAATCAAAATACGAAGATGTACAGTAGGTTCAAAATCCAAGACACTACCATTTATGGAATGCAATTTAAAAAGTTCTGTCGTCTTTATTACTTGTAAGGGTACCTGAAACGATGATTTTTTAATAGTACTTTAAACATCCGAAATCTTCAGTAATGCCTTCATTATTTGTACAGGACATTAAAAATTATTTCCAATACTTCTGCTTAATTTTTCACTTGCTTGTAGACCAGTCTGAAATCTGATGAAAGGATAACAAGGAAATTTACTATATAATCCTAATTCCATATTCCTGAATATACAACAGTTGGAAGTTGATGATGTCAGTCCATTCCAAGGGTTATGTACACAATTCTTAGAAAATGTTCTTCGCTCTTGCATAAAAATGTGTACACAGTATCAACAAGCCGGGAACTTCAAAGTTTTTATGGGCTGCTGCTGGCATGGACCTTTGTTGATTGAAAATAATATACCTTTCACTCTATTGTTCTGGTAGCAGTTTTAGAAGTTAATCATCAATCCCTGGTGTTTCACCCTGTTGTATTCTGGAGGCTATTCTAATGGCTTCTTCCAGAGACTGTTGTTCTCCAAGCTGCAACAAATGCATTTAAACATAAATAAATGAAAAATGTTACATATGGACATAAATGTGTAAAAAAAAAAAAGAAATTAAAGGTGAAACCAAAGATCTAGCTATATGGATCAATCCTTTAGCACAAGTAAGTGTGATCAGTATTGTCACACCTCTTCTGGGTGGTTATATGAGCAGCTATCTAATCAGCATGACAATTAAGAGAACTTCTGATAGCAGATTAAACTGAGTTTCTATGTATCTACTGAATAAATTTTCTTCAAAGAACTGCTGCATGGTAAACACATTCATGACACATGAAGTAGATGATATTTCAACTTGGCAGATATAACAAAGCTAAGATAAGGCCTTCAAAAGTCATGGTGGCTGTTGAATTACATTTTAACACTGGTAAAGCAAAAAAACCATCTTAATTTTTCTTAACTGTCTTGCAGAAAGTCAGCTCTTTGGAACACCGTACATCATTAATATATATGCAAAATGTATACTTATTGTAGAATCCTGACTGTATAAAAAAGCAGGCATGATGACACTGTTCAATTCTACAGTAATTTAGAGAGGAAATTATCTTGTAGTTGCAACTACAAGGCCATCCATGTATCTGGCACTGCCAGAAGCAACATCAACCAACCCTGCAGAAACACAACTGGACACAGTTTTGTGAAAGAATCCACAGAGTTTTATAATGCATAGACCATGCATGTACACCCAGAACACCGAAGACAACCTCAATCTAACAAAAACATACCTATTGGCTCAGCAGAAAGATATACGAGAGTGTGAAAAGTAAAACCAAATTATTTGACAGATAGACCGACCTAATAGTACAGTTCTAAATATCGCTTTTAACTTGTTTTGCAGTCACTGGATATCACATTCTGGAGCCACTCAAATCAAGAGCAGCTCTGGTACCACCTCCTTAGGACTTCAATCTGGCTGTCAGGCTACTGGCTTTATCAGTATTTAGAAACCAAATGGATTCATTTATTAGTATCAAGGTACGAAAGAGAAACAATCAAGAACTCAGGAATAAGAAATAATATTTTAATTTTTAATTCTCTCTTTTCTATTTGTATTGCATATTTTAAGTTTAATTAATATAAAGATGCTTCACCAAAAGCTTCACTGCTGATAACAAAAGGGGCACGTGCAGAGAGTGCCTATGTTTTCCTTTCATTTAAAGGACGCACTGCTGAGGGCACAAGGTACTTTTTTTTTCTTCCTCTCATGCGAACAATTGCCTTTTGATATGCTTTCTCTTAACATGCAGTTTTGATTATTGCCAACTTAGCTCAAAACACATGAGTTCAGAATTAAGAGCTTCTCGACTTTCATTGCTCTTCAATCAGCATCTGACCTGCTACATTGCATTTAACTAAGGGGAAAACAACACTCTCTCATTTCTGCTTGAAGATATTAACACAATTCCCTTGGATGTGAGGTCTTAAGAAAGTACCATGCACACATACACTGAAGACTGCAGCATTAATCCTGAGACTCAAATACTCAAAGGTTTTGATCTATTAGTTTCAGCAAATATGAACAGTTTGAAGGACCAGACCTAAGTTGCTGTTACTTCCACATACAGAGTATATTTTGCCCCCTGCAAATGAATTTGTGAGTGCGTTTTCTGCATTTCTTTTTCTATTTGAAGCCATCTCCAAGAACATTCCAAGAGCATATATTGACTTATGCTGCTTAATACTGATTTGTTTAGAAACTCTTTTGAGCATCTCCTCTCTGCACAGCCATACTGATGGTTTTTTATATCAGTATTCGGCAGAGCTAAGGCCCATCATGCAAACCATAGTCAAGACAGTAACATATACTCAACTCCCTTTGAATTCATCACATCCATGAAAATTATCCTCCTCCTAATGTATACGGTTTCAGGATGTATGGTTACTGTGATTTTTCATGTTCTCTAGAAAAAAATGTGTGTCTGTGGTGATACCCAGACAACAACAGGATCAAATCCACAAAGTGTTAAGTCCCAATTCCACAGTAAATTTGAATACAAAAGTAGTTTCATTACATTCCCACTGGACATCTTATTTATGCACATAATCAGGCACAGAATCAAGATGGCTATGAGGTACACCAAATGTATTAGGCACTTTGCAGGACTGATACAACTATGCAACCCAACATTTAAACTAATTAAATTCCTTTTATTTTACTTTGAGTTTAAAACTGGCTTCTGTCATTGCAGTGGCAATTTCCCTACGATCCTTCAGTCATTTATTTGACCCTTGACTGCAGTGTCATTTAGAGAGATAAATTTTTAAAATACTGAATCTTCCAGATTTAAAATTTCCACAAGCTTCTATTAACCTACCATCATATCATGTGTAACAAAAATAAAATATACACATAGTTAATTTAATGTTCGACTAAGGTAGCATACTGCCCATCATGTGTCCTAGAAGTTTCATTCAACCTTCCAGTCAAGCCAAGCTTCCCTCTGAAGAAACTATTCACGAAAATACTTGTCTAGGTTTTGGTTTTGGTTACTTTCTAAATAAAAGCTTAATTTTTGCTTGGTTCCCACCTTCTTTTAAATTAGCCCAATTTAAATTAAACTCTTTCATACCTAGAAATTACTCTCTCATTACAGTGTTTGGACAATGTAAGGAACTATTTACAAAGACTGCTGCTTGTACTGTGCTGGTTTGACACATAAAGAGAAGGTTACTATTTCCAGAGATTTCTGATCATTAATCTTTCTATATAACTGTTTACACTTATTTGCTATTAGCATTTCAACGTTCAAATTACATAAATTCAGTAATTTTATCTGTATAAATTCATAATAATTTACCCTTGAGAGTTTGGCTTTATATGTCTCAGCTCCATATGTAATGCTGAAGAATGAACAAAAGCACTTTTCCCCTGAAAACCTGTGACTCCAAGAACAATTCTGCTGACCTGAAGTTTGGCCCTCCCCTAACCTCCCCCTTTTTTGGAAGTTTTACAAGTAGATTTGGAAAATGAGGTGCTTATTATTCGTCTTCCTAACCTATATATTATTTAAAATATGAGATCATACAGTTATGAACTTCTTCAGGTGAGCAAAGCTTATTCGAATCATGTTGTTACGTGACTGCAAGCTTCTAGCTCTAGAAGTAAGAAACACTCCAAAAAAACATTTATCACCATCTTACCTGTACTGCAATCTGTGTTCCATTGGATGTAGCCAACAATGTAACTGGTCTAGTTTCTGTAGTCACTAAATGGTGCCCATGTTGCTGATGTCCCATTTCTGATGAGGCACTATGAAATGCTGCTAAGTCTTGAGCCACAATGGCAACCTTCAAGACCAAAGGAAGAGAATCAACTGGATGACAGATCTGTTACCATAACAGACGTCATACAACAGTTACTTTCAAAGTTAAAGTTAGATTCAAACCTGTGATTATTCATGAGCATAATTTTATTGTGCAAAAGATAATTTTTTTTAAAGAAAGGTTTGCCATTACAGAGTTATCTATTAGCTCTCAAAACAGAACCTCAGATTTTTTTTCTTGGTGCCTAATTATTGTTTATAAAACATTCTGCCATTTGTTGATGTACAGCACTGTGGTAGAACACATCATACTCTTCTAAGGGGAATGCTAAGGCCAGGTGTTGAAAACTGCATTACTTCGATAAAGCTATGTGACTGACAGAACTGCGATGGCTTAGATGCCTATTTGATATCGTCTTATAAAGGAAGATTACATGTGCACGCAGGATAATATCTTACCTGCTGTCCTTCGGTGCCTTCTGCCGTAACCATTGCTACAGAATGTGTTCCTGCAGAAGAGATGACAGCGTCGTGGGCAGGGACTGTGATGGTGGTGCCATCTTGTGTTACCATAGTGATAGTATTGCCAATGGCCTGCATATCTGCCTGGGATATGTTGACCTGAAACAAAATAATTCCTGAAGTAAAAAAAGGTTTGACTGCTGCTCAAGTCATACCTGAGTCTCAGCTTTTGGCAGCATGACACGTATTTTTAAGTAAGGTTTGAAAAAAACCCGATGATATGCATTTGAAGCATAACAGCATTTATCAAACAAATTCCTGCTAGTTGGTTCAGCGGGAATACTGCTAATTCAATTTCTTCATTTGAAACAAAACGTGTAACAATCCAGAACAAAAAGGTAACTTGCTCATAATTAGCAGGAAAAAATATTTTAAGCCAAAAGATCTAGGAGCCGTTATTCCTCTTCCTGCATGCTCATACATTCCTTAAGAATCAGTGCTACTCTTTGGCCAAGTCCCCGTCTTGGACAAAGACCCATCATTGCATTCATCTTACTGACTGGATCTAATATTCCATAACCTTTCGGACACACTTATCTGTCTACAGAAATAAAATTATGGCTCTCAGTAATAAAAAAAAAGGATGCATGCTGGCCTGCAGAGTCTACAACTCTATGTTAATCAGGCGTATCCCAACTAACTGCATGACAGATTATCTACGCATGTGTCTTACATAATGGACAATGTGACTCAGGGTAGTACCACCTGACATACTTTTATCCTAATGGAGATACTAAAGATGCCTGTAAGGGCTTAGAATTTAAACCATGAATAAACAATTAATAAAAAATTAATGATATCAATTACTGATGGCTCCAGTATAAATGCATTAGGGCATCAGACATGTGATTTGATGTCTGATTTACAAGGTAATAAAACATCCCAAAACTAAAGTCAAGCTGAAGGATAATTTAAGTGCAAGAACTCCATGTGAAGGCTTCTACAGGCCTTCATTTTAGAAGAGGGTAAAAATGCCAGTTACTTAGTATTGCTGCAATGTTCAGGGCTGGCAATATAACAGCCCCCTTTAATATTTCATTTCCAATTTGAATTTAGAAGATATCTTTCATATGCTACTGGCATTTCAGCTACCTTTCCAGCTGAGATAGAAACTTTTCCCCATATGCTAAACAAGAGTTGTGTTGAAATCTCCTCCCAATGGAATTTCATATGAAATCCTTAAAAAATATATATCCATAGGAATCCTTAAAAAAAATATACCCACAGGAATTTTCAAGTGGAGGTAGCAAGACCTGCACACTACCAAACAGCTTGCAAAGCAGGCACCTAGACGAGAAAGATTTCCTTCCTCCCACTCCAAAAAAAAGTGCGTGCAGACAAGACAATGGTGAAGATGAGCATCAGATATTAATCAAATAATCAGGGAATTCTGAGAAACTAGGCTGTATATATAACAATTGTTAAAGTAGCTCATGCCCACTTTAAGAGAGATAAAGATAACAAGGATAGACAAAAAAATCTAGCTTTCTATTAATACAGTTTCAGATGTCAGAATATGTGGTTTAATTTAGTTATTCCAAAGTAGGCCCAACCTTAAACATATCCTGACCCAGCTCCAAAGAAGCTTCTTTCCTTAAAAAACCCACATACATATTTATCAAGAATCCTAACTGATTTTAGAAAGCACATGGGGTATCTGCAAGCACTATTTTTGTCAGCTTTTCAACACTGTGGTTACTTACATGTTGGGTTCCATCCTGGGATATTAGTGCTACTTGTTGACCTAATCCTGACTGAGTAACTGTAGCAACCTGTGCAGAAATTACATCTTCTCCTTCGACACCAGTCACATAGGTTATCTGGGAGCCTTTGAGAACATCTTCACCTTGACCTATTTCATAGAAAGAAGGCAAGAGGGTAGTTTACATACTCTAAATGCTGTCAGGAAAGCAAATGACAAGGATTAATTGCCAGTCTGGTTTGAAGGTTTTAAACACTCCCATGGAAAAATTTTAATGGAAAGGTGAGAAAAATAAAAGAAGGAAAGATACCAAAAGCAAGGCAGAAAATCTGTTGTTTTGGGAACCCAGGATATAATCTTTTAGTAATGAGTTTTAACACATGCAAATACTACACATACAGAAAATTTAGTTTATAAGGAAATACTAAAATGGTGACAAACATTTCTAATTCATTCATTAAATGTTAACCTCTCCATACAAGAGGCTCCATGCAAACACAACTGGCAGCTTTTAAAAAGAGTTATTAATTAACATACATACAGAAGAACAGTGATACCTTTGTGTGTAGATGTAAGTTCATTATCCTAATAAATGTTTAACCTCAGCAAATGAAATCTTATCATTCCTTTAAAAGAAGGAATTAAGACTATAGCAAATCTGCTTAAGGTGCATTCAGGGTAGTTTCCCACATACACGTAGTAAAACAACTTTTCTGACTGAAACAGTTTGCGTGTGTCTTTCTCATCCTCAGTCTCATCTAAAAAATCACAATTTGACAAGTGGTATTTGTCCTATCACAGCACTTCCTTCAGTCTGATCTTTTCGTCATAGGATTCAACACTCATGCCATGAAAAACATATTCTAAGGAGTACTGCAGCCACATGAGCTTATTTTCATCTTTGCCTCTAGGACAATTTACAGAAACTGCTATTAGCCACTGCAAAACCAGCACAATATCAGGGTGCTGCAAAGACAGAGCTTTCCTTTTCTCAAGGCGGTGACTTTACTCCTGCACAAAAGACTGTCACCAACCATGGTGTTATACATACTCTTACAAAAATCCCTAAGAAAAATCCAGTAGGTTGCAAACATAAACATTTTGGACTCTCGCAGGTCCCTTCCCACATTCATGTTTATAGCAGGTTTGCTGGTGCTGCCACTCAAATTTCTCTTTTATGCCCAGGACTGCTGCAAGTGAGTTTATGATCTGGTCAATTACTCTCTCAGTTTCTGTTTACAAGTGGCCTATCACACTAAAAAGTCCTACAAAGAAGTTAAATAACTTAATAAAGTACTTCAGATTTTTATCTACGCTTTCATTTCCTTGGTTACAAAAAACCAGCAAAATATTAGCCAGTCCTTTTTTTTAAACAAGAAATTCAAAGACTGAAACTCTAACCTGGAGGTGGCTCAAAAAAAGCCTCTTGTTCTTCTTCAATGGGCTCTGTGTCATTGTGTGCTGTCCGCTTGTGCATAGCAAGGGTAGAAATCTGCTTGTATGTTTTCCCACAGTGATTACAGTTATATGGTTTGGAATGAGTATGTACAACATGATGTTTGTATAAACTGGAATACTCCGTAAAACGTTTATCACAACCAGGAACTGTACAGACATAGGGCTTCTCCCCTGTATGGAAAAGCAAAAGGGATAAAGAGAACTTTATCCACAATGCACAGAAAAAATTGTCAACAAATGATATTTAGTGACACGCCTTCATTACCAACCATACTTCAATTCAAAAGCAACAGTGAAGCTCAAGCTCACAAAGTTGATCAATGCAGGCTCCCATAGGTTTTTTTTTTTTAAAAACTACTGCCAGTGAAAGCTGGTCTCTTTTTTTTCTCCCTATCAGTCCATCTAAAACATCCTTCTGATGAAGACAGAAGGATACAGGCTGAAAGCTGTGATGTCAATTCAGCATCATATTGAGAATTTTGTTCTTTTATTACTGGAAGCCCCATACTTTTCCTCAGTGATCAGGTATGTTGGTACACTCGTACAACTTCACTTATTTTTGAGTCTTTAAGCTCTAAAGAAATCTATAGAAAGCATATGTTTAAACAATTACGGTTACACATAAAAACACCTTTAATTTAAAAATCAATGAAACAAATCTCCAAATTACATTATAAACCAAAAAGATATTCTGACATACAAAATGTACCTCATGAAACTTGTCTGTGCCTCCATAAAACAGATAAAGCTAGCAAGATGATATGACTACCGCTGGCTTTTACATTTTAGAACTTCAGAATTTGTGCCAGTTATTTCTGCTGACTGACCTTCCAGTCACATTGGGTAAGTATTTTCACGTCCCTCTATGAAAAGAAGGTTTTGACCACCGCTCCGGCAGCGAAGAAAATGTAGCTGAAATAAAAGGGTGACTCACTACGGTGAGCCATAGTCAAGCTCGGACTTGTGCTTTACTTTTATTTATTTAAGAAACAACTCACAACAGAGGCAAGCTCCAGACCACATTAAGGATTTAGATTTAGTCTAATGTCCACTGAAGACAAGTTTTTGCATTCATTTTAAAAAACTTTGTATCCAAACCAAAATTATTCTTCCTTGACAGCAAGGCAGGAAACATAACTGCATAACTATCCTCAGGAGGCCCAAACAAAAGTACCAAGCCAGATCATATAAAATGACTATGCCCCATTACAGTGCACCAAAACAGTGTTCACAAGAATGCCACAGCCTCTCCCAAGCAGATTCCACTTCAAAATACAAAACATCACTTATATACCTGTGTGTATTCTCACATGATTCTTATAATTAGTTGCACTGGCAAAAGCTCTCCCACATCCTGGCTCTGTACAGTAATAAGGCCTTTCGCCTGTATGTGTCCTGATGTGAACCTTTCTAATATTAGATGTTGTGAATGACCTGCCACATCCTTCAAACGGACACTTAAAGGGCCTTTCACCTGAAAAAAAAAAAAAAAAAAAGAAAATAAAAGGTACACATGCAAAAGTTATAAAAGAACAAAAATCCTAAGTTACACTTAGACTGAATGTAGGAATCTAAAGCTAGCTAATTCTCTCTTTGAGACCCTCAGTCAGAAATACCGTGAACATGCCACTGTGGAATGCTCTACTGTTTAGCAAAAACTGCAAAATTCAGGAAAATCATACAATCTGTAAGCTAAATTATGAAGCATTTAGATTAGTACTTTATGAAGTATAAAACAGATTCAGTTGCTTGGATTAGCTTCCACATTGTCCATAATCTAACATGTATTTAACACCCCCCCATTCATACGTAAATTATCCAAAACAAGTGTATCATATCATTTGTACATTTGTCAATTGTAATTCATAAAATGAAAAAAAATACCTTAATGATTCAGCATATAACCAAGACACAATGGATTAGTAAAACTCATTACAGAAAGCACTTAACCTTACACGAGAATAAACAACTTTTTAAAGAGACAACCCTGAAACTCAAGCTTCAAACCTCCAACCAAAGCAATCACAAATACAGGTTCTTTTTCAAATAAGTCTATTCACGTAATAGAAATTTAAGTGCAATAACTTACATCATCGCACCAAAACATTTCACCATGAACAACATTAGGTAAGGCTAACCCCTGTTCAATATCCCAGTACCCGAGCCTTCAGATCTATCAAAGCACAGAGAGAGGGAGAGTGAAGGGGGTTAACTTTGGAGAAGTGCGAGCCACTTGACACTCTGTCCTGCGGTAATTTCATACTTCCTAGAGTGAAGTACATTCCACCCTCTGTACTGCTCACCAAAGAGAAGAATCTGAGAGCAAGAGAGGGCAGATTACCACTGCAGATACAACATCAAGTACTTAGAGACAGAAATAAAAACCAAAGTCCTGATAGAAACATTAATACCACGAAACTCCAAAGCGGTTAGCTCCTTGGCAGAGGAAACTATAATTCACTCCTCCGGGCAGCTGTTTCGAGCAGGTTTTTCAGCTTCCTGCCAAGGCAGCGTGTGCGTATGAAGCGCACACGCCTCAGTGTTGTGTTACCATGGCTCCCCTAATCCTCGCTTCAGCACAGGACCTCAAATCACGCCGGAAAGGAGCAAGGTTGCAGCGTCAACCCCGCCCAAGAACAGACCCTGCAACAGACCCTGCGCTAGAAACCACAGCAGATTGTTCTTAAAGAATTCCCGCAAGAATGTCGTCCAACCGGTTGGTGAAGCCAGCCTGTAAGTTTCTTATGTACTTGTTACAAAAGCGACCTGTTTCCAGGTGACGGAGATTTCTAGCGCTAGAAATGCAAAGCAAGTCAGCAGCTTTCAAGCTCTACCCCACAGCAGCTATGAGGAACCATCCACACCAGCTTTTCTGATACCAGAATGGTATCTCTAGGGAAGTCATGGAGGAACCCGAGGCAAGCATTTGATGGCAACAGAAAGTGAGACTGGACTGCTACTGAAAGAGAGGGAAAAATCAATTTTGGCTAAAACAGGCAGAAAAAGAAGAAAGCGCTAAGCCTGCTCTGCATGATAAAGAAACGAGAAGGTTTCAGCGCCACGGGAGAGAGCGGGCAGAGACTTGCCTCCATTGGGTACACTGTTGCAGCTTGCATAGGGTATGAGCATACACTGCTCCATCCATCTGCACAAAGGACTTGGTGCAATTTTCTTCTTAGCCTTTGGCTTCCTGCAACTACTCATAAATTTAAAAAAAAAAAAAAAAAAAAAGACCCCTGAACTCCGGTTCGTAGACTGCTGGGAGTCTATGACTGTGTTATTAATATTGTTCAAATGGGTAAATGGTTGCATAGGCCTGGCTCAAGTCTTTTGTCTCAACTGCTCAATTAGATTAAAGCGACTGAATAAGTGTACAACTTCTATGGCCATAAAAAATGTAAAGAAAACAGTCTACAGCTAATCAGGTTGTCCATACTACAGAAATTTTTCAGTTCATAGTTTGTACTTGATGTGCTACATAACAACATCAAACAGTTCTCTTCTAGAACTGAAAACAGATGACACTTATGTCTTCATCCTGATGACCAATTTAACATTGAGTCAGCACTAATCCCAACAGACTGGCTTTGAATATGGAAGTTCAGGAAAGGAGAATTATCTCAATGTATTCTTGAGTTTTTATAATTTTTATTGCCTGCTTTTATTCCCCCCCCTGCATTGTTCTTTTTAATCTGAGAAAAACCTATTTAGTTTGTTCTTTTTTACTCTCAGAAAGTTCAGTGGAAAAACTTGGTGTTCTATCAGGCAAGTAAATACACTTAATGGAATAAGTTAATAAGTGATAGGTTATTCTTCCTACAGTTAAGGGTTTTTTTATCTGTTTTTTTTTTTTGAGATCTCAGTAGCAAAGGAGACATTGTACAAACTTGTTTACACGTATGTGCACCCACAGAGTTTTGCAGAGTGTAGTGTATGCTGTCTAGAATTTATTTGTGGTTTGGCTTTCAAATGAAGCTTTTCTTTTTTTAGACAAAATGTAAGATTTCATATTTTATGCATTTGTAAGTTTTAATACCAGTTGGTTTTCTATTATATTTGTGTTCATTTTTCTCCTGCAAGAAGAGAAGGGAAATCAGGATAACAACAAGCTCAGAACTATCAACCTTCGTGAAGCTGGCATGCAAGTTATCATAAAGCACCAAAACTTAAGTACACTAATGCCATTTCTAAAAGGCGAGCCGTATTATTGAGGAAAAGTTCCTTGTTCTGTTACAGCTGCAAATGAAACTGTAAAGGTACCAAGTGACTCAGTGACAATGTAAGTGATGCATTGCTAAAAGTTAGTGCATTTGCAAAAGCAGTGTGAATGCTTAAGCACTTTTTCCAAGAAAAGCATGCTGGATTTGCAGTAAATGCTTACCATGCTGAAATGCTGTTGAGCTCACTGGGCTTCAGAAAGAGAATATACACAGGCTGATTTCATAAGTGTAAAGTCACAGAATGATCAAAGAGAAAAAAAATCCACCTAAGTGAATTACCAAAAAAAATAATGGGTGATAATAGTACCTGTGTGGGTTCGGATATGTTTCTGCAGGTCTCCTGAAGTCTTGAATGACTTGGTGCAGTTTTCTTCTGTGCACCGATAAGGCTTTTCACCAGTGTGTGTTCGGACATGACTTTTTAACCCATACCCTGAAGATCAGAAAGGATATTATAATAGTATAAGCACAAAATTAGGACACTTACAAACCATCACCATCAGAAGCTGTTCTTGCTATTCCCATCAGGAAGCTCTCTGATGAGTAGAATTTGCTCTTTCACTCTTCACAAGCTCTTCATTCTACCATAAGAGCAGCAGAACTCTAGATACAGTTTAGAAATACTTTCATACTTCATTTATGAAGTACACTTCCATAATGCTTCTCCTTCCCTTCAAAAAGGATAAACTGTAATGATTATAATGTGGAATTCTTCTGAAGAAGCTGTATGCTCTGTATTCCATCCACTCTTTTATCTCTTACCACTACTGTCATCAAAATTACATTTAATTATTTGCTCATACAAAAATCAGTACCATTAATGAAGCCAGCAGTAAAAGCTCTACTGCTATCCATGATCTAAACTCTAATTATTTTAAACTGTATTATTAACATCATCACATATATAGGTGCCAACCGATAGCAGTCATGGACACCCATTCCCTTTAATATTGCTTTTAGGAAGTCATTGTCATCAAAAACTCTACCAGTCTAAAGCAAGCTTTGGATCAGGCCCTCTGTAAGTTATTTTGCAAAGAGCATTTTACCAAGATTTTCCTTTCTGCACTTCCCTGAAAAGATCATGACTAAAGAACCCTGAAATAGCCATTTTGGAAAATGAACTTGAATTTTACTTGTGTCTAGAAGTGATGTATGTATTTCCACAAAATAAAGCAACAGTCTGTAAGAAGATGGCACCTGCTTTAGTTTCACAGTGTGTTCTCCCCAACACAGCTGAAATTCCTAATCTTGATGTTTTTAAAAACACAAAGCACATCTACCAAGCTGAGCATTAATTCATTCTTACATCTAAAACTCAATTTCATGATCCAACCCAGGAGAGTTCTTAATATTTAAACTGAGAGCATTCAGTACTTACAGTAAACTTTATCAAAGGCAAGGATTGCTGAACTACAGTGTACAATGGCTCTGACCAAAAATATGGTATTAGTAGACAAACAGCTGTTTATAGCCATACATCAGTCTGTTGCCAAGGGAAGAGAATATTTTATGACGTAGTTTTGAAATCCCTTTACAAACACTATGCAATTAAACTTAGGTGCAACCCTTTAAGTGTGGTTGTTTCCTTTCTGACATTTCTCATCAGCATTTCTTTTGTTTGTTTCTATTCAAAGAAACAACATTAAATGTGTTAGATTAGATGAAGTTATTTTAAAAACACCAGTTTTTTACCCAGTGAAGAGTACACCTGTCTAAGCCATAAGCCGCCAGCTTCTCTAGGAGAACATTGTGGGAGACAGCGTCAAAGGCTTTACTAAAGTCCCAGTAAATAACACCCACAGCCTTCCCCTCATCAACTAGGCAGATCACCTGGTCATAGAAGGAGATCAGGCTGGTCAAGCAGGACCACCTCATTTAACTTATATTACTAGTTTCATGTCAGAGCAGGACCACCTCAATTAACTTATACTACTAGTTTCATGTAAGAAAGGCCTATTTTTTCCAAATAAAATCTGACATGACAGGTGAAGAATAAGAGAAAGTGTCAAGTTTTCCACCTAATTCCTCCCCTTCCGTAACTAAGAGTTAAATCCTCTTTCTATATGCTAAACTAGCTGAAATGATTTCTTTTTTTTGCAGTTCTCCCAACCAAGTTCTTTACTTAGCAGTTTAAAAAATGCAATATTAAAAACTTACTTTATACAGAGACAAACACTAACAAGCAGGAGGAGCTAGTCTACAAAAGATTACCTGTCGCAAAGGCTTTGCCACATCCAGGATGTTCACACTGATACGGTCTGTCTCCTGTGTGTGACCTTTCATGCACCTGTCAAGACATCCAATACATGACTTAATGAAATGTTGTATCTGATTACTTCAACACAGAAACAATTCATTCTCAAAGACAGCATATTTTATTTCTCTTCCTAAGATTCACATTTAAGTGTCTTCTTTTTAAATCAGTGATAAAAATAAATTAATGAAACAGGGTAACAATGTTTTCCCTAAAACTAAAGATGTCTCTTTCCAAGGTGTAACCTGATCCCTTCAGTCAGTTTTGCAAAAAACATTTCTGTAAATACACAGAGTTGCCATCATGCAACTACATTAAAGGCAGTATGCAGACATGCCTCAGGGCCCACACTCTTGTCTGATTTTTGACTCCACTGAGTTCTTCTAATGATCCTCTTATATTGCATGAAACCTCCACAGCAAGGACACCATTTTAACACATGATCCATAGAGTCGATTACTCACTGACTCCAGAGTGTTTTGTCAGAGACAAGACAGCACCGCAAGCAGTTTACCTTATAGGCAAGTGTTTATCTACACCTTTACTGTTTCAGTAATTCCTTTACTTAATTAAAAAAAAAGAGGAGAATTAAGGAGTTGCCACCTGTAAAGAAAAGATCTTCCAGCTTTTCATTTTGAATGTTGTTTGGAGAGTTAGTCTTCGTATTATGATGGTAAAATCTTTCAGAAATTGAAATTTTTGCATGATCATACACATAAAGTAAATAAAATGAACACTGGATATCAGAATTTCTGTGACGCTGCTGGTAGAACCTATCTCAACACGAGACTTCTCACATGCTGGCAATACAGGAGCCTAACATGATCCCACACCTGCATCTATCCAGAACACTAAGCAAAATCAGCTGAGTACCTGGGACAATCAATTAGTGTAAAGTCAATCCAATAAACATTTGACAAAACAGCACCATTGTGACTGTCTGTTAATTTCTGTTACTTTTAACCATATAATCCGTCTAAAAAATCATGCCTGCAAAGTAACAATGCTCATTTTACATCTCATCACCTTAAGATGGTGAGCTGTTGTGTACAGTTTTCCACAGCCATCGTAATCACAGCGAAAGGCTTTCTCTCCACTCTGCTGAGATTTTGCAGTCACTCTTGTTCCATGTCCTTGCAAGACAATCTTAAGTTAAAAAAAAATACCATTAAAAAAAACAACCCACAATGGATCAAGAAAGTCACACACTTTATTTTGCTATCAAGCCCGAGCTGATTCTGACAGGTTTCTTCTGTCTTTCCTTGCTATGCCATGTATTTCTTAGTCCTCAATAAATAAACTAAAAATAAATAACTAAAAAGCATAAGTTCTAATGAGAGGAAAGAAACAGTAAAACATATTTACTTGTAGCTAGTAAATCTAAATACATGCATTAATTAGCCAAATAACAACAAAGACAAAATAATTTGAAATATAAGCCCAGTGGTAAAATGACTAAATTAGTAGGCAGAAGAGGCTTAGATTACAATGAAGGTGCTGGATCCATTCCTAAGGGAGATTAGCCATAAATCAGACCACCTTCAAATGTAAGTTCATGCAAAGGGCAAATAATAATGAAATGCACTTATAATGAGCACTTTTTGAAAATGAAAGAAAGCATTTTGTACTTTGCCAGTGATGCATGTGTTTTGATCAAACTAATTGGAGCGATTTGAGCTAGGTTCTCCTCTCTCTTCTGGCATGATACAACAGAAAAATACACAGAATAGCTTTGTGATGCAACATAAACCCCTTTTAAAGGCTCCTTCATACACTAATATGCAAGGAACATTCATACAGACTGAAGAAAGAGGCAGAAGCCCAAATGTAAACATTTTAAAATAACTGTAGGCAAAGTAATCAGGACTATTTTAAAAGGTCTATCCTTCTTTTAAACCACCGCCCTTTTCTTATGGATCCAATTCTCTTCTGAATTGTCAAAAGCACATTTCACAGAATCAATGAGAGGGCAGGCACCACTGGAGACCTTCTAGTCCAACACCCCCTGCTCAAAGCGGGGTCAGCTGCAGCTGGTTGCTCACAGCAGTATCCAGATGGGTTCTGAGTATCTCTAAGGATGGAGACTCCTGAAGGCTGCCCGCAGCCTTCACATTGCCAACTAATTATTCTCGGTAAGTATGAGGTCCAGCAAAGTGTCTCACCTCATCAGCTTTAGGTTGCCAGTTGCCATCCCTGTACTCCAGAAACCTCCTGGATTTCATGTGCCCTGTTGTCATGCTCTTCCAGCAGATACTAAAGTGGTTAAAATTCCCCATGAGGACCTGGGCCTGTGAACATGAGGCTTCTTCCAGTTGTCTGAAGAAGGCTTTGCCTTCTTCCTGATCAGGCACTCTGTAGCAGACAGCCACCACAATGCCACCCTCACCACTGGCCTGCCAGTTAATTCTGACCCATCGGCTCTTGACTGGCTCATCACCCATCCCAAAGCACAGCCCTGTGCAATCCTGCTGTTCTCACATGAAGGGCAGCTTCCCCTCCTCTCCTTCCCTGCCTGGCCTTACTAAAGAGCCTGTATCCATCCATCAGCATCCCAGTCATCTGAACTATCCTGCCACATCTCCCTCATCCCAACGAGACTGCAGCCCTACAACTGTGCATAAACCTCCAATTCAGATCAGAAATTTGACTGAGAACAACTTTCCTATGGATTCTTCAGAGAGGGCGCCCCCTGTTACCTTCAGACTGTTCTTAAGACTAAAGATGCAAAGTTGAATATGAAATCTGAAATTTTCAATCATATGAAATGTACAACTCCGCCACTTCAGAAAAGCTTCTCTGGAACCACGGAGAAAAACATAACCTCATGAATCAAGAAACCCATTACTAATGCTATTGTTTAACCTATGATCTCATGAATCACAGAAGTCACTTTAATACATTAAGGATCATGAAGAAGATGCATGGTTGAGCACCTGCAATTAGGTATTTTTTTTTCTATCTGTATTTCTTTGTTGTTTCAGCATATAAAAACATGTATATAGTTGCAAAGATATGCTATAAAGCTCAAGTATCCCAAAGTTTAGAAGAAAATTAAAACAGTTCTATAATCAATATCCTAATATCTGCAAGGAAATAACCAGACATTTTTACCAATATTAAGATTGATACAAAAGGAGGTGGGGGGGTGTGTGTAAAACAGCCATAACATTCAGGAAAATAATCAGTTGAACATTTGCTTGTTCAAACAACTGTTTGCAGAACTGTGTTTCTGCACAATACATTAGTTGATATGACTTAAGGATTATTAAGAATTGAGTTATTATCATTCAACAAGGACAGATGTAGTTAAAATTACTGTTCTTAGAAGATAATACACACTGAAGAAACTAAAAAATTCAGATGTTAGAAGGTATAAAATCAGAAGGACATCACAAATAAAGTACCTTCATAATGTGAACTCATTGAGAGGAACTGTGTACTTCAAAATACTTTTAAATAGTCAACATTTTAGAAAACATTTAAAAAACCCCCTCATTTCAAAAGAAATCGCAAATGCATCCTGAGTTCAGCCAGGTGACACAGGAGAACAGCAAAAGTAACACAGATCTTATCTAAGATTTTTATATTGTATACATACGAACTTCAGTCACATGATTCTGCTTTTATTATGAACAGATGGGTATGACAGGTTTGAAAGGAAATAGAGTGTGTTATCCTTTTGGGCACACATAGTCTTTTGTTTTCACATGTAGAAATCAGAAAGAGCTTTTTGCTTTTTTCTTTGGTGAAAAACCTAACCACATGCAAGTCTGAATGACTGCTTAGCTGCATGACATCTGTTCTGTTCTTGTGTTACCTGTGGACTTAAAAAGTTTATAAATACACACTTATTTAATACAATATCTGAATATGAGACTATTTTATCCCAAATAATATATTATTTCAGAATGAGTTACAAGTAGGTATCTATTTAAATCAAGATATAAACATGATTACAATTTTCATACACAACTGATAGCTTCAGGACCCTTCAGTTGGCCAACTGAAGTCACCTTAAGGGCTCAGAATTTGAGACTAAGCCTCAATACCTTTTGAAATACCAGATCTTTTTTTGTTTGGAACACGTAAGATTGGCACATTTCCATATCGCATATATGTTGCCATGCATGTATAAGATAAAAAACCCCTCCAGATTCACTTTATTTTGAGGCAGAGGCTGAAATCAACATCTAAGAGCATACCGGTTACAGGTCATTTTGCTTAACAGGCTCTTACTTCAGGTAAAACCAACAAAGATCTTACCTTACCTTACTCTTGAATTTTGCATTTTGTTGGTGTTGTATCCCTATTCCAACCTACAAGTGTGCAAACCCTCTAAATGTCTTGATTTTATTTTATGGAATATCTTCCAATACCATAAATAATACATGTATTAGCTATTCTGTCCTTTCACAGTCATGACAAAAGGCAATAGTGGAGTGTCTATGGCTTTAGATATTGTGGGACCTAGCTTTTAAAAAAATCAAGAACAGAGATTTTTGAGGTAACTGTCAGAGGTGGGACTATAATTCTTCCTTTCACAGTTACTGTATTTTACCTTGGATGATATTTTTCCTCCTTGTCTAGTTCATCATCTCTTAAATGAAACAAAAAGGAAAAAGGAGCTTCTCTGATCAAACATTTCTCAATGCAATGACTTCCATTTTTGATTTTGTCATTTGAACATGTGAGGGTAGAGGGGTTTTATTATTATTTTTGTTGTCATAAATTCTTTGAAGCCCAGAATACATTTTGCTTTGTCTTTTCATGTAATAAAATATGCTATGATGACAACTACCATTCTCCTTACATAATTTTACAGATCCCAGGTAAAAAAAGCTTGAGGCTTAATAAGTTGCGTCTGTATTTCCCATTGCCCTTTGAACTTTTAAGTTACTATTTTCACATTGAAAAGGTTTTTATATTTCTGTGAACTAACTACACGAATACAAAAAAAGAAATGGAAGCATTTTTCTGCTTCTTTATGTGTTCATTAGGAGCAACATTCTTATTTAATGATTACTTAAAAAACCCACAATAGAAGTCAGGGACTAACAGGGCAATGGAATCAAAATAAGTCATGAAAGAGACAACAGCTCCAGGCGTATGCCTGGAATTGTCTCTCATGAGAAGAAAATAATTCATTAATTGAGTCAGCATTCCTTCTGCTTTAAGGACTATAAAAAGTCAGTTCATTCTCTGGAAAAGAACTTCTGAAATACTTAACACTCTTACTGATGAAATACTCAGGTCAGCTTGAAAAATCTTAGAAATCCAACATAATTTTAAATTACTTTTTATCAGAAAAAAACCCAGAAAACAGTAAGTATTAGAAGATCTTTTTAAAATCCTGTGAAAGGATCTTGTACAAAGTGAGAAATATGACCTCTCTGTGTAGGTTTGAGATCTAAAATTCCTGAAGGGTAGCAGCAGACCCTAGTTCATGGCTACACAGGACTACCTATCACACACGTTGCTGGGCAAAGAAGAAGAAATAGATACACGTTATTTGGTATTTGGCTACATACCTGCATTTTTTTATCTTGTTCATTTTCACCTATCATTCCTGTGCCACTAACACTGTCACTTCCATCAATAGACACCTGAAAAACAAAGTTGAAATGGGAAAAACATTTACAGGTTATTTTTATTCATCTGAAAACCACAGGGCCTGATGGCTTATTATTTCATAGCTCTCTAGCTCCCTCTTGAAATATGGTTATCCTATCGTACATTGGCTTACATGAAAATCTCCACTTGTAGCACCTGCATTATAGAACAGGTGAAGTGAACATCTCAAAGTTGTCTTAAAACACAGTAGGAAAGACTGCAAGAACCAAGAACGTTAAATTAATAGACTGACAAAAGTATTAAAATAAATTAATAAATTTAACAATACTGAGTTCTGATGGAAAAAAAATAAAATGTTTACTTCTTTTATAATAGCGATATATTTAAGCATAATTTACTTGTTTTGAACAGCACAACTCCTTTGGAATCAATACCTAAGACAATGTGTTACATCTCAATTTGAAGTAGTCAAATTACAACAGCTAAGCAAAGATTTGTATATTGCTCCATAGGTTTATTTTTAAAAACAGTCTACAGGAGAAAGGTATTGCTGCTTTCCAAGGAGCTTATAAAAATATTTAAAAGAGTATTAGATGTTAATTTGAAATTTTTCTTTAAATAAAATTATAATTTCCCAGTTTAAAAAAAACCAAACTCACATACATCGACTCAAAGAACAGTGTCATATTAGTCACTGTAGGAAAAAACAGATTTAAAATATACTTCATATAGTTTCCTATTCCTTAATTGCCTCTGTATAAAGCAAAGGCATTCACAATATTCTCTGCATCCATTACATTCAAGGTTGAGATTGATGTACCTAGATCTAGCCCAAGTGATTTTACTCTTCTCTAAAGTAGTTTGGCAGGAACCCTACCTCAGCTGGTATGCTTCTGGCCTTTCACTAAGGAGGTCATAACAGGCTCCTGAGAACGTTAATGATTGTGTAAAGTATCTTGCTGAAAGCATCAGCTACCATCATTCCGCTTGGAGACTGAAGATGAACTTGTCCTGTAAGAGGTTTTCAGACTATACTATATTTCTAAATTAGACAATGTTGAGCAATATACTTCTGGCAACTTTGAGCTAAAACAGTGAAGAGGACAGCGCCCAACCAGAGGCAAGATAACATTACAGAGAGACTGCACAGAGAGTCTGCAAGCAGGCAGTTCTCAGGTGGTTTTTTTAAAAGGAAATAATAGCCATTTTGAGACCTCGTCCTGCAGAATTTTTCAAGGGAGGGGAGAGAACCTGCACAGAAAGGAGACTTGAATCACTTAATCCCGAACTTTCTGTTGTTGGCTGAGAAAGGAACTGCTGACATGAAATCTAAAGTTCATCAATGCCACTGGAAACAAATGATTCAAACAGATGTGCGTGCACGTAGACATGCACAAATCCCATGAACTGTACTTTTCCAGCAGCTGGGATGTCACAGGAAAACAGCTTATGGAAGAAAACTATGTGTTGTAATCTCTTCACAATTCCATTTGGTTATCTTCTGACTTCATGTTCACTGACAGCAATGATGTCTTTTTTTCCTTGGTTGCTTTGGGAGGAAGGTGGCATTGACTTAGCCCAAAATTAAAAGGACTCTAGTTAAGTCTTCGCATGTGCTCTGCAAGATGTGGGAAGGTAGTATTATGCCTGAAGGAGAAGTAAAGGATAATGAAAAATGTAGGTGTTCCACCACTTCCAGTGAGCTTCTCTGTAGTCTTCTTGGATCCCTTTGTATGAACTCTCTTGCAGAGTTTCTACACTGATCTTGGGCAGCCTACTGATCTTTGCTATTTCTGCCTGTTATGTAGGACAGAGGAACACAGAAGAACCACCATTCTCCAAATCCGCTTTTAAAATTTTCTTCACGTTTTTAAGTTTTGAAGAAAATCAAAAGTTATCAAAAAAAGGAAGGTGCTCAATTTTAAACCTCTTTTGTGCAGTATTGGGAGAATTCTGGAAGGATTCCAAGGAAGATATTTGAGTTACTTCTAAATGACTGTCTTAGATTCTAAAGAAAGATTTAGTTCGCCTTCAATTAAGAACATAAAAACTCCTATACTGAGTCAAACTAAAGGTCAATCCCATGCACCATTTTGTTTCCAACAGCAGCCAGTAGGAGATGTAAGACTAAAGGAACAAGCCAAGCATACAGTGATACATTTCAAGAAATATTCTCCCAACCTCCAAACAATTTGTGGCTTAGGAACTTCCTGAAGTAGAATTCACATGTTGCTACCTAATAGCCCCGGATACATTTTTCTTCTATGAATTTACCTAATTACTCTTTGAATCCAGGGACATATTAGCATCCACAATATCCTACAAGCAGTGCTGTGGCTTAACTTTGTGCTGTTTGAACAAGTATTCTTCCCTTGTTTTTCTTGAACCTGTCACCTGAGAGTTTCATCTGATGTTTCCCAGGTCTTACACTGGTAAAGACAATGAAAAATCACTACTCTTCTTTGTGCCACTTAAAATTTTATAAAATTCTATCACATACTTACCTTGTGTATTTCATATGTTTGGGCATCATTGTTGCCCCTTCCTGTACCTTTTTAAATGCTCCTATACCAGCTGCTATGAAAATTATACATTGCCTCACTATGAAGCGTACAGACATGGAGCAGAATCACAAAACCACTTTATCCTTTTAAGAGAAAGTCAGGGTTGTGAGAATTGAGCTATTATTTTCTTTTGTATGTAAACCAGGTACGATACTTAGAAACTCACTTCTGCTGACTTTCCCTGAGAGGTTCTAGCAGTACCTTTCAGAATAAGGTTCCGAGATGAAAGCTTAATGGAAATAAATATTTTTTTTCTAGACACACAAGTACACTACAGAAAAGAAATTCACATTACAGAATTAAAATCACATGTTGACATAAACAGGAAAAAAACGCAATTTATTTGCATTTCTTCTGTTTCTTCTTTACCTTCTCAAAACAGAAACTTATAACAAATTATGATTAATATAGCTCCTTGTTAAGAAGGACAAAGTTATGACTAATTTAAACCTAAATTAAATAGTAGCTAGGGAATGTGTAAAACTTGTCACTACAGCTCAGCTACCTTTTATTTAAGGCATAGCCAAACACAACCCAATCTGACTGCCTCTCAATGTTTCTCAATTAAACCAGACAGAAGCATAATGGAAAGAATAGTGTATAAGCCATTTAATTATCCTAACTGGCCTTCTCCCAGAATTTGACAACTCTCAGTGACACTACAGGACAGATTTTAAAATTTATTCAACTCTTCTTCTAAAGCAATACAAGCAGTGACAGTAATAATCCATCAACAGGGACACTGCAAAACCAAAAAGTCATGGAAGTTTCCAATGCTGTATTATAAAGAAAATTATTACTTAGTTGTCTAAATCACTTTCCGTATCAGTTTGATTCCACATAATTTCAGTGTTCAATCTTTTGTTCTTTTTATGCAACACTACACACTGCTCATGATAGTGAAGCACTGTCATGACAACAATTTGGTGCTCTCTCTTCTAAGAGTCTGAAGATTCTCTTAATTATCATTTTAATTCTTAGACCACAACTGACTTTTGCTGCCAAATAACTTGCGACGCTACATGAAAATGTTACGGATAGAGAAAATGTCTTTCAGTGTACCTTGGCTGCATATTGCTCCAAAGCACTGATGGTATCTGGGTCAATGGCAGCATCTCCTGTATGAAGACCTGCCACTGTGCCATCAGCTTGAATGGCTAAAATGGTATCTGACTGTGGCATTTGCACCGTGTGGTGAATGTAGGCAGTAGTTCCATCCTCCAGCTGGACTGCTTGTAGTGCACTCTGGTCATAACTGTCTGAGAAATAATATTACAAAGTGTTATGAAAGAAAAGAAATAGCAATGTCTGCAAGTTACACAAGAAACTACTGCTGTGTAGGAAATCTCTCCTAAAGTCATATATGTGTATGAAATATATCAGAAGTATAACCACTAGTATATTCAAATATAAACACTTAGAATATTACTATGAACAGCAGTGATGAAATTTTTTTCAAGACAACACCTCTCATAGCTTTATTTCTGCACACTTAAAAAGGTGCAAAACCAATTTTATATTGGTCTAGCTTTATTTACAAAGGAAACCAGGAACACAAATATGCATTCCGTTTTGTATCCACTCATAATAAAATGAAAATAACGTAACAAATGTACTGATGTCAATACTTAAGATTTCACAGTTCATAAATCTGATCATTTTAACAACAGAATCGCGCAAATACACAAAAGAAATACATAAAATATAGGACGACTTTTAAGGAAGAAATTCCTTATTATATTCTCTCCTCTTAGTATTGCTGATTGTAGAATGTAATTCTTGTAACACTGGTTTAAACAGAATTAAAATATCTACTTGATCACTTTTTGAAGAGAAGTATTACTATTTCCAAGACTAGTGTAATAATCTTCTGCAGAATTCTAAGTTATTATTTAAAATAGATACGTTTGCATGCTTGACTGTCAGCTGTCACATTTTCTGCCCTACTACCTAACGGCAAAATCATCAATAGCACAATTTAAAATTTAAGTCAATCTCTATATTCTTTAGCTCAAGAGGGATCGATTGATCAATTGATTCTTACCTGCTTTTTCTCTTCTCATTTTCACATGCAATTATTGCTGAAATCTGTATAAGGGCTTACACTCTCTACTAACATGACACATACTTACTTTAATGTGATCCTGGGCTAAAAAAAGTGAAAAGTTAGTTTTGATTTTGTTTATAACTGTTACCTGAGGTCCAAAAAAGGAACTGAACCAGACTCATTTCAACAATTTCCAGATGTCACAAAGTAACAGCAACAAGTAATCTACATTGGGAATCACACTAAATGACATCATAGTCTAAAAAGAGTACTGTATTTTATACTGCTGAAGTTCTGTTGAACTCTTATGTAATAAATCACACTTAAAAAAAAAAAAAATTACCTTTTGAGGTGTGATGAATAAATGCTGTAGTTCCATCTTCCAGCTGAACTGCTTGTCCGTCTTCCAGACGCAAGCTGTCCCCTGTTTGGAAAAAATAGTAACAATGCTTCAACAATAGTATGAAAAATCTGTTAGTTGGAAAGATTAATACTAAATACCTAGCATCACAAAGTACCTGGGATCTCTTCACAACTGTTGCCATTAAATAAGAAATCAAGCTATTATAATGACTTAATTACTTAATATCAATATTCATCAGTAATACATTATTTTAGAATGTATTTCGTGTATTATTACACTTACTGCTTTTAGGCATGGGTACATGCTGAACATAAGCAGCAGAACCATCTTCTAATTGAATCACTTGGCCATCCATTAATTTACCATCTGAAATACACAATTAGAATTCTTAAAAAATATTCTGTATGACGTGTTACAATTTAAACACACAGTTGATACTTTCTGGATTAAAATATCAATAAAATTATCACTGAGAAATAATGTTTGGTAATGAGTATGCACAGTATGACTACACAGTGGTTTTAAAATTCTGGGACTAAAAAAAAATGGAAAAGGCCTGATGTCCTATCCAGTAGGCAGAATGTTGGTATTTTCTTTTGAAGTGTAAAGATCATCTCACTTTTGCTTGACTTGTGTTCTGCATTTGATTAGTACATCTTATTAGCAGCAGAAACAAATGTTTATTTTATAGTATTACTGTAATACCTGTAATTCCCAGCTGGAATTGGAACTTCATAAACATTGTAGAGGTTTTGAATGAACTACAATCCAAAGGAGTTTACAATCCAAAAACAGGGTTAAAAAGGGGAATACAATTTCAATACCAATCAATTTCTAGTAATTTACCTACCTTTAGAATTATGCTGTATGTAAGCAGTGGAGCCATCAGCAAGAGTAACTGCTTGCAAACTTACACCTTCCATGTTTTCTAAGTTGTCACCATCTAGCAAAAAAACCCAAAAAAACCCCAAAAAATTCATATTCACTATTACCAGCATCAAAACCCTAAAAATCACAACTTCATCACCTCCATAAATGATTACATGCCCTTAAAGCATCATGATTTCAGAAATAATAAGAAATAATTCTTACTTGCTTTCTGGTTTTTGAACCTTGAACATATAGTAGGGTCATATGCTCAAGAATTTGCCTGGAAATATGACAGCTAGAATGTTATCTTCCTTTACTAAAAAAGTTACAATGTCACTGAATAAGTAACTACAAAGCTGAAATTTTAGAATAAATGTTAATTAGGTCATAAGTGTCAAAGTGAAATTATGTCATATATACTTGTACTGATAATTTTCTTTTGTATATTACTACCTGTCATTAAAATACACAAATCTATTTAGAGTAAAATACAGATTTAGGAAAAAGTTTTTAATCACATAAGACCATAATGGAGCTGTCAGAAAACATCGTTTAAACCAATCCCAGATCACCAATTTTAAAACTCAACTTGTTTAATACATACTTATATACATACGTACATACAAACTGAAGTTACAAAGTATAAAACAGTAAAACTATAGTGAGAATGAAGCCAGTTTTTGTATTTCCTGTTTTGGCACATTTATACTCCTATTACCTTAATTAAGAGATCATTTCCTTTTAGAATTAAATTAGTGAACTTAATCAATCTCAGTTAACTAAGAATAATTTCTGTTAGATTTTTCATTTTGAATGCACTACATGAGTTTTAGAGTTTTATTTGAATTTCAAACAGAAAAGACACAATAATGTAGAGAGATATTTTAACCTGAAGGTTCACCTTGAACAGCTACAGCTTCTGTTAGACAGAGAGTCACATGCTGGGCCTCCATTCCTCCTCCAGAAAATTCAGTCATTCCCTGAGAGTCTCGATTTATCTGAGCTAATAACATTGTCTACCTAGAAAGAAAATATTCACAAAACATAGATAGAAAACTTAAATACAGAACCAGAACTAGTTAAAGTCAATCCAAGTTTAATTAGATTTTTATACAGCTGCTACAAATATTTTATGTTACCTTTCACATAAAGATGCAATGAATGATTGACTTAGCTGGAAAATACTTTAGATAAAAAAAGTTATTTGAAATAGGTAAACATTATTACCTCAATTCACTAAGCTGTTAAGAACTTGAGGTAGCAGTTACTAAATTGACGTGCATCAACCATGTTTAAATTTCAGTTAAACATGAAATATTCAACCAATGTCTAAAGAAGTATGGTGGTAATGACAGTATAAGCAATGATATCCTTTTGTCCTCAGAATTAAAATAAAGCTGACAATTCACCCACAGTCACCCATGACAACATCAGGACTTTAACTATATAAATTACACTTCTCTCTGGTGCCAGTAAGAAGTTTAGAATCTATCATATACTGGGAAATACACACTTCCATTAGTAAGTCTGATTGAACAATCCAACTAATTCTCTAAACTTTCCAAGAGAGTTTCTGTTTTTTTTTAAAAAAATATTTTAAGAATTCCTCCTTGAAAATAATAACGTATTTAATTATAAAATGTATTAATAAGACAACAGGACAGTGATTACTGAGTGACAGTCACAACTCTGCATGTATCTCATTGAACCAGATACAGCTAGCCCTTTGGATACAGATTTTTTTTACTCACGCATAGGATCACAGAATCACAGAATGGTTTGGGTTGGAAGGGACCATAAAGACCACCCAGTTCCAACCCCCTGCCATGGGCAGGGACACCGTCCACCAGACCAGGTTGCTCCCAGCCCCATCCAACCTGGCCTTGAACACTGCCAGGGAGCAGGCAGCCACCGCTCCTCTGGGAAACCTCTGCCAGTCTCTCACTGCCATCACAATAAAGAATTTCTTCCTAATATCTCATCTACACCTCCCCTCTTTCAGTTTGAAACTGTTACCCTTCATCCTGTCACCACACTCCCTGACAGAGTCCCTCCCCACCTTTCCTGTAGCCCCCTTTACGTACCAGAAGGCCGCTACTAGGTCTCCCTGGAGCCTTCTTTCTCCAGGCTGAACAATATGGGAGATTAAGAAGTCTACTGAATCTGAAAGGCTATTACTAATTTTCAGTATTACTAGATTAAGAAGCTATAAAGGAAACATATAACATTGCATTCTACTAACTCAGGTGTTGGCTTTCACCATAGGAAAAAACAAACAAAAAACCCCAAACAAACAAAACCAAAAGCCCCACCAAAAAAAAACCCACACAAAAAAAAACAACCCAAAAAAGGTCACCGAGTTCTGCAAGCCCTTTAGATAATGTAATGTACACTTAGACATGTAGATGAAAGAAAAAAAACCCCAAACATCTACATGGAATTGCAATCTAAGCTACACAGCATTAAAGCAAATCCCCCCCCCCCCCAATCTCTTGATAGTCAAGAGTTTTTCTTACAATAAGCAGCAGTTAGATAATCTCACAAAAAGGTTACAGATAAACAAAGCTTTTAATTTTAGTACAGTTCTATGACCTGCTGTTTCATAATTCAAGGCTGAGAATAATCTAGGGTTTTTAATTTACTTATGATTACATTTCTAAATAACTAAACTATTTTTACCTCTACAATCCAGAAATCTGCCCTTGAACAAGCAACTCATGAACAGTCTCAAAGACCACTGAGAAACTCATGCCTACATCAAAACTAAAGAATAATGAAAGCAAAACTAGACCATTTAGGTACTCCAGCATGCCTGCAGTATTTAAAAGGTCTGGTCAACTAATTTAGTAGTTGAAAATCATACCCGAGTAATATTTTCCAAATAAATCCAAGTCTTTGAACCAGACTCTACTTCCTAGAGAGGTGGGCAGCTACATAAGTTTCTTAGTCGCAGCAGAGAAAAAGCTGACCCATACACAGCTGCTGCAGCTCTGCTGCTCTTGCTGTCTGAAGTGCTTCAGCCCGAGTGCTGTGCACAAAGCAAACGTGTTGCTATGGTCCAAGCCCCGATAACTTTTAATATGATGTTATATCAAGTACCCACGTTACCTCCTGAAATTGGACCTGGAGTCTAAATCACCCCAGCATGCCTGAGAATATTATTGAAGGTCTGGTTTACTGTCAGGAGCCCAGTTAATGGAATAGGTACAGTTTAATAAAGAAAGTGGAAGGGGTAGCTTTAGGAAGGTTTTAAGCCTCCCATAAAAAGGCAAGTTTTTTCGTGTGCTACATTGAAAAATCATGTAAGAAAAAAAACACTAGTAATGATCAGTTCCCAATTCAGTAAGAAATATGCCTTCCAGTATTAAAATCCTACATAATATCTATCTGGAACATTAAGGAGATTAAAATATAGGCTTGCAATAAAGAATTTGAACGTTGAACAACTCTGAGCATCAAAACCAAGATACAGTTAAGGTAGAAATCAAAATGTAATTCAAAAGAGGTGTGAGAGATTTTTTAACATCCAAGTGAACATGAGAAATTCTTGTTTCCAGCATCCTTTTCAAGAAAAGAAACTTTTATAGAGAATGAAGTCTCTAAAAGAGATGTAATACAACAGAAGAAGAGCCAGTGCAGAGAAGCCATCCAGAAAAAATTGTATTTATACTAGATATTTCTGAAGAAAAAATAACTAAGCTTTTTGGATACTATAATCTAAGCGACAAGGAATTGCATGAGGACATAAGAGATCCTGAGTTCAACTCCTTCCTCTACCATCTCCATGTTAGTGACTTTGGACTAGTTTTTTCTCATTTATCCCCCCTGCCTCAAAATAGGGACAAAACACTTACTTAGAAAGCACTTTGCTTTTAAACCAAAAATGGGACATGCTGTAGCTACAGGTTCAGCTTAAACAAGCACTGAAGTGACCCTACTCTCAGCGTTCATGTCCTCTGCAGCAAGTCAAATTAGAAAACTGATGCAGTTTAAAAAATAAACCAGCACCAAAAAAAGTTTTATTCCAGACCAACTTACAATGATTGTTTCTCTGGAGGTACTAGCAGCTTGTGGCAAGTTAAATTAAGTAATTATAGTATTAGATGTTAGTGGTGAACAGAGGTTGTCTGTCTTAACTGCTAACAGTGTTCTGTATTGTCAATGTTTTCATTCACTCAATTTTCAGGACACTGCATGGAAGTAGTTGCAAAGCAGATAGATCACTTTACACATTGGAGAAGAATGGCTACAGGACCATTCTTTTTGATTGGAACTATATGGAAACAATTCCAGCAGGGACTGCATCTTAAAGGCCTTTCAGCTCCAGTGTACTTTAAAGTATTCCTTCTCTTAGACAAAGTATCTTCTTAATATACTACCTGCCTTTAAAATAGAGTAACATCCTTCCTCCAGAGCTTATACCTCTTCTCTCAGCTTTGGGGAAGTGGAGAGGTAGCTAGTCAATGCAGACAACTGTAACGTCCCGAAAGGGAGCAAAATCAGTTGCTTAATGGGTCAATGGCTATTTTGGAAGAAAAAGAAATCTAATGCAAGATAAATGCAAGGGCCGAAGGAGTAAAAGTACTCGTTTAAATTATTTTACAGTGTTTGCTATTGTAGTGTGGCTGATTAATAGTTACCATACACAAAAAAAATAAAAATAAAATAAAAATCAAGAGTGAACTGCTGCACACAGCAGAACAATGTTCACTACTTCCCCCTATTCCAGATGATCTGGATGATGATGCGCTGTAATTTACACAGACTGTTGCTGTGTTCTACCAATTCCACCTCCTTTAAAAATTATCCCTTGCAATATATCCTCTTCCCAATCTTCTATCCTTCCAATAGCTTCTTATCCCCATCCCCTTCTCCTTGAAGTTAAGTTTCCTTCTTCAGTCCGTCCTATCATGGTACCAACTTTCCAGCACATCAGTCTTCCCAAATATAATCCCATCCTTCTTGTCAAAATAATCTAAAATACTCCCACATCCACACCAACTCCTTCTGCAACTAGTCCCTAATTCATCTCTTACTGCTGGTGTGCCCCATGCCCATCACACTGTTGTCGATCTCCTTCCTGCCACTACATCTCAAGACGGTTCACGTTCAGACTGCTCTTTGAATTACATCCCCTGTAACAGAGGTTGTAGCACTGGGACTGTCTCGAACAGCAAAACCCCAGCTTTCACTCACTTTTTGGTGACACAGCAGTTTTGGTTTTGTTACTCTGCTGTGCAAGGAGGAATACCCTCAGCCAAAAGTGGATGTGCTGCTCACTTTCAGCCTCTCTTCTTTCTCCCCAGTGGCGAAGACAGGCTAACCAGACAGAGCTACAAGGTCTGAGGAAGAGGATGGGGAAGGAATTAAAGATGTAAAGTTGGCCTGTGTTGTAGAGAAATGGGTCAGGCTACCACAGAGATATGGCTTATTGCTGCCACAGTGTTACTTGTCATGTCCTGTCGTCGTCCGTCCCGTCCCCCCCCCAAGAATGGTCAAATAAAGGAACACGTCGTCAAGAAGGGTTACCGACTCTCCATCCTTGTATGCATTCAAGACTCAACTTGCCACAGTCCTGGGCAACCTGGTCCAATCAGACCTGCCTGGATCAGGGCTGGACTGGATAACCTCTCCCTTCCAACTTAGTTTGTTCTACAGTATCTAATCATTTTGATATTGCATACCTTTAAAACAGTATCACCACGCTGTTGGTACATCATCTACCCTGCAAATCTAGTCTCCTATCATATTTTTATCCATTTGTCTTGGCTTTTTGAAACCAGTCTGTTTAATCAAACTCAAATCTCTTCCCTTACCTCAGCTTTAGTCACTCTTTTCACAGAATCACTGAACGTTAGGGGTTGGAAGGGACCTCGAAAGATCATCTAGTCCAACCCCCTGCCAGAACAGGACCACCTAGCGTAGGTCACACAGGAACATGTCCGGGTGGCTTCTGAATGTCTCCAGAGAAGGAGACTCCACAACCTCTCTGGGCAGCCTGTTCCAGTGCTCTGCCACCCTCACAGT